CAACTCCTGGGCTTAAGTGATTCTCTTGCCTCAGCCTTCCAAGTATCTGGGAGTACAGGCACCCGCCACAACACCTGGCTATTTATTGGCTGTAGTTGTCATTGTTGTTTGGCAGGTCCGGGCTGGATCCAAACCTGCCAACTCTGGTATATGTGGCTGGTGCCTTAGCCACTTGAGCTACAGGCTCTGAGCCCCAAATTCTGCCTCTTTATATGAACTTTTCTGATTACCCCAATTCTCCTTAATTGGATATGGTGGTTCTTGTAATGTTCATACCATTTCATTTGTATCTTAGTATATGGATAAAGATTACTTGTATGTTTATTTTGTATTATGGCTCTTGTTCCTTTTCTTTAAGAAAGCTGACTTGTCATAAAGTGACCATAACTCGAATCACACAGAGGAGAGGGGATGGCACCTGGGCCCCCAGAAGGCCCTGTGTCTCTCCCTGGTCCCTGCTTTCCACCCTTGAGGATTCCCACTATTCAGACCCATGCAGCCATCAGTAAGCTTTGCCTGTTGCCATGCTCCCACGTGATTGGAGCACATGGCAGCATGTAGCACGGGACAGGATGTACTTGTTTCTGCTCAAGGTTCTTTTACTTGGTGTTGGGTGAGTGAGGTTCACGCATGCTGCCCAGGACTCTGTTGATCTTTGTTGTTGGGGTATACTGTGTATTCTGTTGAATAAATAGGCTGCAGTTTTTTTCACATTTATGTTTATTTTCAGTGTTGTGCTTTTACAAATACTACTGCTTGAACATTGTTTTAGGCATCTTTTGTTGCGTATAAACCTAGGGGTAGAATGGTTGGGCTATGGGGTAATATTTTCAGTGTAATTAGTTGTTTTCCCTTAATGTACTTTTGAAACTAGGAACTCACAATAGACTGACTACAAGAGTACCAAAATGAATCTCATATTCATTTACCTAGATTTATTAGTTTAGATTTTTGCTAATTTGTTTTATGTCCTTATATGCTTTTTTTTTATGGAATCATCTGAGAGCTGGTTATAGGTATCATGATGGTTGACACCTAAAGCACCTCCTAAGAGCTATACCATTAGCACAAAAAGTTTAATATTACTATAGTATTATGTATTAATGTTGGCATAGTAATACATACAGTAATATATTGTCCATGTTTAAGTATACCAGTTGTCTTGGTAATGACCTTTATGGCTTAAAAAATTTGCACATGGGATTCAGTCCATTTGCATTGATTTTCATATATCTTTTTACATTCTGTTCAGCTAGTCAATTTTTGTCTTTTCAGTGCAGCAATGTTTTTGAAGAGCTCAGGGTCAGTCATTTTGAAGCACTTCAAGTTTGGACTTGCCTGAGTGCACCTCATGGGCACGTTCAAGGTGAGCCTTGCTGGTGGGAGCTCCTTTCCTCTGCACCTGCCTGTCCCACTGGGGGATAAGTTTGCTTAAGGTGGAGGTGGCCAGAGTTCTCCTTGTAAAGATAACCTTTTCCCTTGACAAAAGTAGCCTCTGGGGTGATACTTTGAATTTTTTTTTTTTTTTTGAGACAGAGTATCATTATGTCACCCTTGGTAGAGTGCTATGGTGTCATAGCTCACAGCAACCTCCAACTCTTGGGCTTAAGCGATTCTCTTGCCTTAGTCTCCAGAGTAGCTGGGATTAAAGGTGCCCGCCACAGCGCCCGGCTATTTTTTTGTTGCAGTTGTCGTCGTCTAGCAGGCCCGGGCCAGGTTTGAACCCACTTGCCTTGTTGTATGTGGCCAGTGCCCTAACCATTGAGCTATGGGCACTGAGGAGATACTTTGAAACGGTAAATACCCAGAACCTATGTGTACACACAACACAGTTGCCTCTGCATCTGTGGGCCCAAACAAGGGCACATTGAAAAGTACTTGATGCCGGGGATAAAAAAGGATGGTTATTTCTCTACTGACTTTTTTTCATTATTCCCTAAATAACACAGTATAACTATCACATAACATTTGCATTGTATTGGGTATTGTGAGTAATCTAGACGTGATTTAAAATACACGGAGGATGTACATAAGTGCAAATACTACAGCATTTGATATGGAGAACGTGAGCATCCGTGGATTTTGGTATCCGAGGGAGTCCTGGAGCCAATCCCCCATGGATACGGGGGGGGGGGGTGACTTTATGTATAATTTTTTTTTTATTCAGGTGAAATTCATATAGCATAAAATAAGCCATTTTGAAGTGAGTAGTTCAGCAGTGGGTGGTGTGTCCCCAGTGCTGGGCAGGTACCTGTCCACCTCTGTCAAGTATAGAGCATTTCTTCTGCTCCCCTTGCCCTTCTCTGGGTCCCTGGCAACCTCTAGTCTCAGATCTGTCTCAGTGGATGTCCCTATTCTGAGAGTTTTGTGTAGCAGAGTGTGTCACTCCTCATTCCTGGTGTGGTGGAGTAACATGCCTCTGCATCTCCATCACGGTCTGTCTGTCACCCTCTGATGTTGTACCACTGCATCTACTTCACAGATGACATGCAGTGCATCTGCTTCATGGTCTGTCACCCACTGACGTGCCATTGCATCTACGTCAGGTCTGTCACCCTCTTATGACATGCCACTGCATCTACCTCATAGTCTGTCACCCCCGATGACATGCTACTGCATCTACTTCACAGTCTGTCACCCTCTTGTGATATGCCACTGCACCTGTGTCACAGTTTGTCACCCACTGATGAGTTTTTGGGTTGTTCTCACTGTTCTGTCTATTATAAATGACCCAGTATGTTTTTGACTTAATGGTTTAAAGTATCCATTGATGTTTTTTTTTTTTTTGAGACAGACTTTCAAGCTGTTGCCCTAGGTAGAGTGCCCTGGTGTCTACAGCAACCTCTAGCTCTCGGGCTCAGTTTTTCTATTTTGCGTAGAGACAGGGTTTTGCTTTTTGCTCAGGCTGGTCTTGAATTCATGTGCTCAAGCAGTCCACCTGCTTCGGCCTCCTGAGTGCTGGGATTTACATGCATGAACTGCTGTTCCCAGCCTCATTGATGATTCTTGCCTCAATCAGTTATCACTATGATGATTAGAAAATGAAGAGCTTGCATTTTTTTTTATTCTTAAAAAAATTTTTATTTTTAGGATAAAATGATTTTTTCTTCTGGGTAGGTGCCTGGGTAGGTGCAGGATTGAGTGGAAGGTTTATTTTGAGTTGAGAATTCTCCATATTTCTTGCCAAAGATGCTGTGTTAGTTTGCAGTCCCACTAACAGTGTAAAAGTGTTCCCTTCTCTCTGTATCTTTACCAACATCTGCAGTTTTTGTTTATTTATTTGTTTGTTTGTTTTGAGAGAGTCTCACTATGTGGCCCTCGGTAGAGTGCCATGGCATCACAGCTCATAGCAACCTCTAAGTCTTGGGCTTAAGCATCCTCTTGCCTCAGCCTCCTGAGTAGCTGGGACTATAGGCTTCCATTACAGCACTCAGCTATTTTTTTGTTGCAGTTGTGGTGGTTTAGCAGGCCCAGGCCGGGTTTGAACCCACCTGCCTTGGTGTAAGTGGTTGGTGCCCTGCCCACTGAGCTATAGGCACCACCCATCTGCAGCTTTTGGATTTTTTTTTCCTCTCAAAATTAATATGAGGGTACAATTTTTAGGTTACATTGTTCCAGGGTAAAGTTCCATTTGTAGAAGAGCCCTTCACCCAGGGGGCGTGTTATACACCCTCACAAAATGCACATTAGGTGAGATCCTGCCTCCTGCCCTCCCTCCTTCTGCCGAATGTCCTTCTCCCCCCTCCTATTTCCCTCTACCCCTGAACTGGACTATATTAGTGTTTTATTGTTTGTATGAGCATGTAATTGATTATGTATTGATTTCATATTAGTATGGAGTACATTGAATATTTTTCCATTCTTGTGATACTTTACTAAGAAGAACGTATTTCAGCTCTGTCCAGATAAATGTAAAAGATGTATTGTCGGCTCGGCACCTATAGCTCAACCGGCTAAGGCGCCAGCCACGTACACCTAAGGTGGTGGGTTCGAATCCCCAGCCCGGACCCGCCAAAAAAAAACGACGACGGCTGCAACCAAAAAATAGCCGGGCGTTGTGGCGGGCGCCTGTGGTCCTAGCTACTTGGGAGGCGGAGGCAGAAGACTCGCTTGAGCCCAGGAGTTGGAGGTTGCTGTGAGTTGTAATGCCACAGCACTCTACCCAGGGGGACAGCTTGAGGCTCTGTCTCAAAAAAAAAAAAAAAAAAGATGTATTGTCTTTCTTATGACAGTTATTCAGTAGCTGGAAGTCTCAACAAAAAGACCCTTAAGATATATGTGTGTGTGTTCAGCATTAATTTCAGTATGGACTTTGGAACTTTATTTTTATTCAGTATAATTTACTCATTTTTCTTATTTTTTTAATGCTGAAATGGTGTACAAATTGCCCAGTGGGTATTCCTTCAGCTGGTTCAGCCCTGTTCACATGTTATGAGTCAGTGTCATCTTTGGGAAGTTTGGAAGTATGAGAATTGCTTTAACACCGTGCTCAGAATTGCTGTGATTGAAAATTCTAGGTTTCTGTGGTCTGTTAGTTGGTAATGAATGGTTTCTTTTTCTTGTTCTGTATATGGCTTTGATTCTTGTCCTTCCCCCCTTTTCTTTTTTCTTCTAAGTTTACTGTGGTCTTGGGGCTTAGATTATCAAACCTAAAAGGATGTCTAGGTCAAGGTGACCAGGCATGAGTTGCAGCCTACCCTGGGCATGGGTGTTGGGCTTGGGAAGAGCCATGCAGGAACTTGAGAGGAATGTGGGAATATCCCAGTAGCTTGCTGAGTTTCAGTGGTTGAGGTTGTGGATTGAGTTTTCCTATGTGGAATTGGTTTTGAGGGATTGGAAGGGTTAACAGAGTGGTCTTTTGGAGCAGTGTGTCTGGGAGAGAAATTCCCTGTCCTTTTCTCCTGCAGCTGTGCTGGCTTTGGACCCCTTTGCTTAGAAGTTTCCTTTTGAGAACTTGTGTCACTTCATACACTGCTTATTCTCCCCTTCTCTGCTTACAGGCAAAGTCCTGCGTCTGCCACGTTTGCGGCGTCCACCTGAACAGGCTTCATTCTTGCCTCTACTGTGTCTTCTTTGGCTGCTTCACAAAGAAACATATTCACGAACACGCCAAGTCTAAACGGCACAACCTGGGTAAGGCACCATAACGAGATGGAGTAGTTGTTGCCCTCAACTCCCTGTCCTTTGGATTTTTATATACAGTCCCATTCTTCCCAAAGTCCACCTTTTCTTTTATCTATAATTTATGCCCTTTTTGTGGAACTTTACCAGAGAAGTGAAAGATCAGTTGAGCTCATGTGGACTGTGTCCCCCGTCTGCCTTAACATTTGATGTGGCCTCAGGTGGTGAATGATAGCAGCTCACTAGTTATGCCTAGCTGTCTTTGAAAAGCTGATAAGAAATCTTTTTCTTTTCTTTTTCTTTCTTTTTCTTTTTCTTTTTTTTTTTTTTTTTTTTTGAGATAAAGTGTCAAGCTGTTGCCCTGGGTAGAGTATTATGGTGTCACAGCTTACAGTACCCTCAAACTCTTCGGCTTAAGCGATTCTCTTGCCTCAGCCTCCAAAGTAGCTGGCACTACAGATGCCTGCCACAATGCCCAGCTAATTTTTTGGTTGTAGTTGTCATTGTTGTTTGGCAGGCTCAGGCTGCCAGCTCTAGTATATGTGGCTGGTGCCCTAGCCACTGATCTACAGATGCCCAACCCGATACGAAATCTTTATTGCTAGCTGGGGATTTTGGCAGGCATCTGTGTCTATAGTCCCAGCTACTTGGGAGGCTGAGGCAAGAGAATTGCTTGAGCAAGTTTGAGATTGCTGTGAACTGTAACACCACAGCACTCTACTGAGAGGGGGACATAGTGAAATTCTGTCTCAAAAAAATAAAAAAAAAGCTATGTATACCATGGAGTACTATTCAGCCATTAAAAAGATGGAGATTTTCCATCTTTTGTATTAACCTGGATAGAGTAGGAACATGTTCTTAGTAAAGCATCACAAGAATGGAGAAGCAAGAGTCTAATGTACTCAGTTGTAATATGAAGGTAGTAGATGATCTAATTCAAGGTGGGGGGCATGGAAATGAGGGAGCAGGGAGGACAAAGGGAGATGGGGGTCACAAGTGTATGACACACCCCTTGGGGGCAGGACACAATTACAAGAGGGACTTTAACAAATGCAATCAATGTAACTTGGTTCTCTGTACCCTCAATGAATCCCAGACAAAAAAACCAGCCTGATCAAGAGCAAAACCCCATCTCTACTAAAAAAGGCCAGGTGTTGTGGCAGGCACCTGTAATCCCAGCTACTTGAGAACCTGAGGTAAGAGGATTGCCTGAGCCCATGAGTTAGAGAGGTTGCTGTGAGCTGTGATGCCATAGCACTCTACCCAGGGTGAGAAAGGGTGAATCTGTCTCTAAATAAATAAATAAGGTAAAGTTTTTTAAAAGGGTTATGGAAAACTGGAAATATATTTGGTGGAGGTTTTCTGGAAAAGAGTCTTGCTGTGTTGCTCAGGCTTGAGTGCAGTGGTCACTCTCAGCATTCTCAAACTCCTTGGTTCAAGCAGTCCTCTTCCCTCCGCCTCCCAAGTAGCTAAGATTATGGGTGTAAGTCACCATGCAGGCCTGGTCATAGAATCTTACTGTTACCTAGCCATCATCTCTTGCTTTAGTCTCCCGAGTAGCTGGGACTACAGGTGCCTGTCACAACACCCATATTTTTAGTAGAGACAGGTGTTGCTCTTGCTCAGGTTGGTCTTGAACTCCTGAGCTGAGGCATTCCACTCACCTCAGCCTCCCTAATCTTTAGTATTTCATTCTTTCTGCAAACTTGGTTTACTGTGCTCTTTTCCCGAGTTCGAGTTGCATGTTAGGTTATTGATCTATGAACTTCTGTTTTCACCTGTGAATTTTCTTTTAGAACTGCTCTCACTGCATTCTATAAGATTTGGGATGTTTTTATTTGTCTTAAGACATTTTCTGATTTCCTAGTGGTTTCTTCTTTGATTGGTGTGATTTGAGGTAAGCATTTAGCTCTTTCCTCTGTGCCCAGGCTCAGTGCAGGCCCAAGTGACCCTCCTGCCTCCCACCTGCTACCCTCAGCAGCTGGGACAACAGGCCGGGACCACTATGCCTGGCCTTCTTCATCCTTGTGTATATGGATATCCAGGGGTCCCAGATGTTTGTTGAAAAGACCATCTTTTCCTCTTAATGTTTTGGAAGCTGGTTTTGCACCTGGCAGTGTGTGGCTGTGTCACAGTTTCTGAAGGGCCTGTTGGCAGGCTGAGCATGCCCTGTGCGCTCTCTGGGGCAGTTGCTCTGTTGTCATCTTGTGCCGGGCACACTTTTTGTCATTGGCTGTCTCTGCTTTACTGTGGCTGTGTGCTGGAACTGTCCCACTAACTTAAGAGTGTGTGCAGAGGCTTGCAGCATTGCCAAGGGCTTTCACGTGCGCTGTGTTAGTTGTGAGAGGAGCAGAACATAACATGGTGTTCTTAAGTTGCTGTTTTGCGTTTTGGCAGTCTGCTTTAGAGGACTTTGAATAAAGATCTACCCCAAGATGAGTCATAGTGACTTAAGACAACATACAGTAAAACAGATTTTCTAAAAGACATTGCTGCTGATCAGGAGAAGCACAGAAGCCATGTACTCATCTAACTGCCCCATGGACCCATGAGGAGTTGGTGCTGTTAGTGTCACAGTTTGCCCCAGTGAGGCAAGAGAAGTGGGGTGATGGATCAGAGGTGCATAATAACTCCTGTGTGGCAGAGCTGGGATCAGGGCAGTTACTGTGGTCTGTGCTCCTTCCTGGATGCCCTGCCTCCCACATGCAGCACTGCCAAGTTAATTTCAGCCTCTCTCTGCCCACTCATAATTTTTTTTTAAGTTGTTGAGTTGAGAGAGAACCTTTCTTCTAGGCGTTAAGAGGACTTTGTCTTACTTATTTTTATAATTCAGTCATTAAGAGCCCAGTTTTTAGCTCCATTTGTTATTTCATAGGTGATGCAGTCGGGAGAGTATACAAGGCCCACCGAGAGGTGGGCAGCAGGCAGTGCTGGGTAAGGAAGTTAGAGTTACCCATTAGAAACCATGTCACTCCTGTCTGTAGTGATATTAGGAGTTCTAGATGTAGTAAAGCTTAGTAGTTACTCTCCATCAGGTCACCAGGAATCTTCATGGATTTAAAATGTTCACTGAAATTTTACTATTGTCCTAAGTGTCACAGGTTCAGAGAAAGCATAGGGCCTGGTACTCAAGTATTATTTCCTTCGATGGGTGTCACCTCTCTTTTATAGTTCACAGGCACCAGCTGTCTCAGAGGGAGGAATCCTTCTGGATGGGGCACTGTGACTTGAGAGCAGGAGGATGCCGCACAGTCCATGTAACGTGTTTATCCTTACACGTTACACGGGAGCATCCTTAACCATTTTCAATTAAGCTTTATAGCTCTTCCTTTCTCTTTTCAGCCATTGACCTGATGTATGGTGGCATATATTGCTTTTTGTGTCAGGACTATATCTATGACAAAGACATGGAAATAATTGCCAAAGAGGAGCAGCGGAAAGCTTGGAAGTTGCAAGGTATGGTTCTGCTTGAGTTTTCCTACCAGACTTCTCAGCCCTGTACTGTAGTTCCCTTGTTGTCTGTCCAGGGCACATCTTGGAAGGAGAAGTATCCGGAGAGTGCATGGGAGTGGGAGGTGCTTATTTGGTGGGAAGAGATCCTCACTTGCTTACTCCTCCCAGGCCCCCAAGGAGTCAGCTGAGGCGGTGGGTGCAGCTTGGGCAGCTGCCCTGTGCTCCAGGGGTTGGGAAGAAAGGACATGCAGCCCAGTGCCTATCTGCAGACTGGAGTTTAGCCAGACATAGCACCTGGCGGCTGGGGATTTGTCATCTAGAAATTTCTGAAGGGAAGTTTGCCCTCAGCCTGCTGTATTCTAGAAAGTGATCTTTCCACAGCAGTTAAAAATAAACACACCTGGCTTAGCGCCTGTGGCTCAAGTGGCTAAGGCACCAGCCACATACACCTAAGGTGGTGGGTTTGAATCCAGCCTGGGCCCACCAAACAACAACAATGGCTGCAACCCCCCCAAAAAATAGCCGGCATTGTGGCGGGCACCTGTGGTCCCAGCTACTTGGGAGGCTGAGGCAGGAGACTCACTTGAGCCCAGGAGTTGGAGGTTGTTGTGAACTGTGATGCCACAGCACTGTACCCAGGGGACAGCTTGAGGCTCTGTCTCAAAAAAAAAAAAATAAATAAATAAAATAAACACACCCCAGCTCAGCCCCTGTAGCACAGTGGTTATAGCGCTGGCCACATGCACCCAGGCTAGCAGGTTCGAACTTGGCCTGGGAGAGCTAAACAGCAATGACAGCTGCAACAACAACAGCAACAAAAATTAGCTGGGCATTGTGGTGGGTGCCTGTAGTCCCAGCTACTTGGGAGGCTAAGGGAAGAGAATTGCTTAAGCCCAAGAGTTTGAGGTTGCTGTGAGCTGTGATACCCTAGCACACTACCTAGGGCGACATAGGGACACTCTGTCTCAAAAATAATAAATAAGTACATAAACACACCTGCTTCCTTATAGGAAGGTAGACCATTTTTCTGATTAAATTGTTCTTAAGAATTTCTTTTTTTTTTTTTTTTTTGAGACGGAGCCTCAAGCTATCCCCCTGGGTAGAGTGCCATGGCATCACAGCTCACAGCAACCTCCAACTCCTGGGCTCAAGCGAGTCTCCTGCCTCAGCCTCCCAAGTAGCTGGGACTACAGGCGCCTGCCACAACGCCTGGCCATTTTTTGGTTGCAGCCATCATTGTTGTTTGGTGGGCCCGGACTGGGGATTCAAACCTGCTATCTTAGGTGTATGTGGCTGGCGCTTTAGCCGCTTGAGCCACAGGCGCCAAGCCTCTTAAGAATTTCTTAAAATTCGTAACTATTGGGTGGTACCTGTGGCTCAAAGGAGTAGGACACCAGCCCCATATTCCAGAGGTGGTGGGCTCAAACCTGGCCCTGGCCAAAAACTGCATAAATTAAAAAAAAAAAAAGAACTCCTAACTATTTGGGTGAACAGGTTGAAATTGCCAAGTACAAAATAGAATAGCCGTCACTCAGCCACTCTGAGCTGCCCTGGTCCAGTGCTGGTTCTCATTCCTCTGATGTGCTGACCTGGCTCTTCCTTTTTTCTTTCCTCTTGGTTTCCCTGATTTTTTCCTCCTTTTCTTTTTTTTTTAGCTTTAATTTGCAACAAATGCTTGTGGTGGTTTACAGTGACTCTGGTGGGTAGATCTGTCCCAGTCATGGGTGAGCACCTCATCTCTCAAGCAGCAGAACAACTGTTTACAGAGGGAATGTGTTTTGCTTGGCAGCTGGTGCCCATTTTATTTTCTTGCCTTGATTGGTTTGCATTAAAACATGCCCATTGGCTCGGCGCCTGTGGCTCAGCGCCTGTGGCTCAGATGGCTAAAGCGCCAGTCACATAACCTGAGCTGGAGGGTTCGAATCTAGCCTGGGCCCGCCAAACAACAATGACGGCTGCAACCAAAAAATAGCCAGGTGTTGTGGTGGACGCCTGTAATCCCAGCTACTTGAGAGGTGAGGCAGGAGACTCGCTTGAGCCCAGGAGTTGGAGGTTATTGTGAGCTGTGTGACGCCATGGCACTCTACCCAGGGCAACAGCTTGAGGCTCTGTCTCAAAAAAAAATGCCCATTTCTTGAGAATGGAGGAATGTGAACAGGTAGTCTCAGTGATATACATTGTTTGGGCTTAATCATTCCTCTGTGGAGGGCAGTCTCTTTGATTTGTATTTCCTTTTTTTTCCTCTCCCTCAAGACTTTTTTTTTTTTTTTTTGAGACAGAGTCTCACTTTGTTGCTCTCAGTAGAGTGCTGTAGCGTCACAGCTCACAGCACCTTCAAACTCTTGGGCTTACGCGATTCTCTTGCCTCAGCCTCCCAAGTACCTGGGACTACAGGTCCCTGCCCCAACGCCTGGCTATTTTTTTGTTACAGTTGTCATTGTTGTTTAGCAGGCCTGGGCTGTTTCAAACCCGCCAGCCTTGGTGTATGTGGCCGGCGCCCTAACCATTGAACTATGGGTGCTGGGTCTTCCCCCCACCTTTGTCAAATTTTAATGACATTGCATTTAACTTGATATGTCGTTTAATTATGCAGAACACTTAAACCACAAGGCTAACAAATGCATCTCCCAGATTAAAATAGAATTCTTCTAAAAAATTCTCTAATTCCATGTATTCCAAGGTGCTTTGTTTTTAAAGTCTGTTGAATTATTCAGAAGGTTTAGGTAACATGGAACAGGTGAGTGACCTGGCGTGGGTCAGGGGAAAGGTAGTGCTTACAAGCATTTCCACCAGTCTTTTTGGTGTTAGTGTTTTACTGTGTGTGACTGTTCAGCAGTTAGATCTTAGTTTGCTCAGAAGTGCATTTTCTCTCTATCAGTTTCAGTTGTTCTCAGCAGAGTCCTTCATCCCAGTGGCCAGCTAGCTTGTGCTGATGCTGCAGTCTCTGAACTCTGGGGTTGAAGGTATTTGAGAAACAACTGTGCTGGCTTCAGTGCAGCAACTAGGGCAGCTTTGGTTGGAGGTGTCTCAGCACTCTCCAGGAATGTCTCCTGCATGCCCCGTTTAGCCCGTCTGGGCCCGCTATTAACGGCTGCCCCTCTTTGCAATACAGCCTGACAGGAGGTATATCACAGTCTTTATTTATAAACACACTTGATGATAGTTAGCTAACAGCACCTGAAACTATCCTTTATCTGCTTAGGCGTTGGAGAGAAGTTCTCGACTTGGGAGCCAACCAAACGGGAGCTTGAACTGCTGAAGCACAATCCCAAAAGGAGGAAGATCACTGCCAACTGCACCATTGGTGGGTTAGGACGTTGCTCAGAGTTGTTTTCACTCTGAGCTGCTTCTTCAGTGCGGGTTTTATAACTGCACTGACTCTGTTTGGTCCTGCCTGAGTGTTATGCCCTGGCTCGCACCTGTTTTCTGGGGGGACCTGTGGCAGGTAGGATTGGGGTGCAGTGGCAGGTGGAAGTGGCCCCTGCCCATGGCTCTCAGAGTCTGTATATAGCTTATGTTGAATCTGACCAGGGCATAGCTGGGACATTTATTCCTGGGGAGAGAAGTTATGTGTATGTGTGAGTGGATGCTGAATTTTCTGAGGCCTGACGAAACACTTTTTAGAACTTTTTTTTTTTTAAGCGACAGTTTCACTTTATTGCCCTTGGTAGAGTGCTATGGTGTCACATAGTTCACAGCAACCTCCAACTCCTGGGCTTAGGCGATTCTCTTCCCTCAGCCTCCTGTGTAGCTGGGACTATAGGCACCTGCCACAGTGCCTGGCTATTTTTTGTTGCAGTTTGGCTAGGGCCGGGTTTGAACCTGCCACCCTTGGTGTATGGGACCGGTGCCCTAGCCACTGAGCCACAGGCACTGCCCTTTCAGAACATTTTTAAAATGCCTTTTTGTGTGTGTTTTTGAGAAGGACTATTCTAATCTGGCCTCCTGTCACAGAAAATATATCTGGGCAACTCTGTCAAAACATACAGTCGCAGAAGTAGGAGCGTGGTGGCGAAGGCCCCTCACCACAGCTCCTGTGGAAGGGGCGTAGGAAGCAGAAGAATGCTACCTTTCTTCTTGCTCTTTTCTTCTTGAGCAAGTGAATAAAAGGAAGCGCCTGAAGGGGGTAGCAGTGTGTGTCAACGTGCACACAGGTGACGGCCAGTCTCCTCATGGCTTCTGTGCAGGTCTGCGTGGGCTCATCAACCTGGGGAACACCTGCTTCATGAACTGCATCGTCCAGGCACTGACGCATACTCCGCTGCTGCGTGACTTCTTCCTGTCGGACCGGCACCGCTGTGAGATGCAGAGCCCTAGCTCCTGCCTGGTCTGTGAGATGTCCTCACTCTTCCAGGAGGTGAGCGCCAGCCTCTGCAGCACGCTGCTTCTGTGGTCACTTTCCACTACTTTATTTTTGCTTTTTAAAGCAAAATAACGTTGGCAATAGTACTAGAGGGCAAATTTAGAACTTTATGCACTTCATGTAATGAGTACTTAATACTACAGTGAGGGAGATTTAGAATTTCATGCAATGACTAAATACTTAACAAATGTGTGTATCATGAAGGAGGACACAGTTTTCCTGGAGCAGACTGTTAGCTTGGAGATTGCTGCTATAGTCCACAGAGGTACACTGCTGACTGGGGATGAGTAAGGCTCTCCTGAGGGTCATAGCAGCAAGCTTGCTATCAGCTGAAAGCTGTGTCTGTTCCCCCTTCTTCCATTGTCTGCCATCCTGCTTCTGGAGTGTTAGGTTGAGAGGCACATGCCACTTCCCTGTGTCATTCTCAAGGAAAGTGGTGCCATCCTTTTCTCCCAGGTTCCATCTAGGCCTCTGTCCTCAGAGCTCTGCCCTGCACTTCGCTCTGTCCCCTTGATGTGCTTGTAGTTTACACACAGCTTGTCCGTGCCCCATGCCCAAAGTCAGGACATGGTGGAACTTGATGTCAGGGCACATCTGGGCTGGCACCTTGGTGCCCATTCTCAGCAGCCTCAGATGAACTTTGCAGACCTGAAGCCACTCACTCATCCAGCTAGAAAGTGGGGCTGATGCTGCCCTGCAGGCTATTGGGAAGACCCAGCAGCCTTGTATACAATCCAGCACACACCATCTTCTGTTCTCAGTAGCCTAAGAGCACTGCTGTACCGCTCACTCAGACCTGGTCTGGCTACTTCGGAGCCACAGATGTCGAGTGGAGCAGCAGGGTGGAGACGCTGCAGCCTGCAAAGTCACAGTCACAGCACGACCAAGTATGCAGTGGGGACTCACAGTGACCTGGTGTGCCAGCAGTGTACTATCCGCTACTGGTGGCATTCTTCTGTGTGTGTGGAGGGTAGCCTGTGTGTAGTTGTCTCTTTCCTAGTTCAGAGATATTTGCTCATTAGGTTTACTTTTTTTTTTTTTTTTTTTT